GCCCGTGACTTTGGCAGAGATGAACATAAAATCCATCCCTGCTTCAACAGAATGCATTTCTGTCGTGACTGTTACTGAGAATACTTTATGAAACGCTAATGCCGCCTTATAGTTATCCAAGTTAGATGTGAGTACACGTGTGGGTTTAAGACGGAACAGAAGTGACATATATGACTTATTTTATGGAATATTAAAATACAGGTGACTGTAAATGACATAATGAATTATGAATAATACAGGAACTCTCAGGGGTTGAAAGTTTAAATTTCATTTGTTACTGATTTTGCTGTCATATATATATTTTTAAAAGATTTTACTCATTTGAGAGAGAGAGAGCACAAGCAAGGGGAGGGGCAGAGGGAGAGAGTGAAGCAGGCTCCCCGCTGAGCAGGGATCCCGATGTGGGGCTCGATCCCAGGACCCCGGGATCATGCATGGCCTGAGGTGAAGGCAGACGCTTCGCCAACTGAGCCCCCCAGTGTCCCTATGATTCTTAATCTTTGTTCCTTGACTTAAAAACTGTAAAACAAGAGCTAACATCATGATCTTAAGCATAAAAATGTTATGTTTGTTTTATATAAAATCTTGCCTGTGTTTACCTTCACCTCAAATGACGCCTGTATTTTTTAAGATAAAATGACTTGTTGGTTTCAATTTTATGATGATTAAGCATCACAAACCATACTTCAATGTCTAAAAATGTAAAATGTTTTTACTGAGATACCAAAATTTATTTGTGTCTATTTAGCTCTCAAGTGAGGACTATGGAATTTTATATAATCATCAATGGCCAGTTTATAAACACGCACCTTTAAGTGAGAGGGACAGCCTGACCATTCATTAAAAATCAAACTTAATGCCACACACATACTCTGATTTCAGACGGACTCCTCCGGTGAAAGCACTTTCCACCCCAAATAACAGAACCCTCCAAAGAAGTTTCTGTTAGTTACACTTCTTGAACACAACAAAACTCTGCTCTAAACACAGGGAGAGACTTAAAGGAAACTGGTAAATGCACAGGCCTCTTTCCCGGGGCGCGTGGCGACCACAGGAGGCCCGCAGACGGCACACAGAACACATAAACGCGCCGAAGAAAGAAAACAGTCGAGCTAAGGACTTTATGTCCAAACTGACACAGTCAGCAGGCTGCAACCACTGTGACGAGCCGGCGGGAACCTGAAGGTCAGTTCCCACCACGTCCTGACCACGGAGCTCCCAGACGGTGTAGCCGCTCGGGAAGCCAGCACGGAGGCTGCTCAAAACACTGAAACAGAAAAACCACACGATCCAGCAATCCCGTTCTGGGTGTTTATCCGAAAGAAGTGAAATCAGTATTTCAAACAGCTGTGTACGCTCCAGCACGTCCGTGGCAGCACTTCCCCGCGGCCAACGCGTGGAAACAGCCCACGTGCCCATCGGCAGAGGCGCGCACGAGGACGACGTGGCGCACACACGCGGCGACGACTCAGCCGTGAGAGAGGCAATCCCACCATTCTGGGCCAGTGTGACGGATCCCGAGGGCACTGCACTAAGCAGAGTAGGTCAGACAGCAGCACCCAAACCTCGTACCCTCTCTCGCGTGCTAGCTAAAGAGACCGAGCGCCGGACTCGCGGAACAGGTTGGTGGTGGCCAGCGGCGGGTGAAACGGGGAAGGGAGCAAAAGGTACCAACTTCCAGTTATAAGAGAAATTTGTCCCGGGCCTGTCGGGTTCAGCATGCTGACTCCCGTTCATAGTAACGGACGTGGGTTTGAAAGGTGCTGACGGAGGAAGTCTCCAAAGTTCTCGCCACAAGAAACAAACTGTGTGGCCACAAGAGGGGACGGAGCCGCCTCAACAGAGTGAAGTGACCCTCTCGCGGTGGGTCCAAGCACAAAATCCCGATGTGCCGTGTATAAGCACCGTATCGTATGTCATTCGTATCTCAGCAGAACTGGGGGAAAGGAATATAAAAAAGAAATCGACCAGAGAATGCACTCTGGACCCCAAGACAAGGGCTGCTCGTGACCAGGAGACACACACCGACCACAGAGGGAACCAACGCTCGCGGTGAGAGGACAGCGCGCCAGGCAACGGCCCCCGTCCCCCTCGGCCGGTTAGACTCGCTCCAGCGGTGTGGGAACAGGGATGACGCCCTACACCACTTCCAGGAAACACAGGACCGGGTACAGCGCTGGTGTCATTCCTCTGCAGCCGCTCGGTAAATAATGTTGGATACAACAACTGAGTAACTACGATTCACAACCCCCTCACTGTCTAAGAAAAGAAATAAAGATTTTTGGTAGAAGAGTTACAGAAAATCCAGTAGCCACAAGTTCCAACAAAAATAAAAGTATGCATTCGTAGGTGTTTCCTTCTCTTACGTTGTATTTGCCCCTGAGAAGGCCAGGAAAGACCAAGCCGCAGTGAGCACGCGGAGGGCCAGACATGCTTCTGAGACTCCATTTCTGTGGGACAGAAACCAGAGCCCCTTGGAGAAATCAAAGGTTCTAGGTCTGGGATGGGCTGCCAAAGAGGTGAGCCTGAAAAATCCCATTAGGTGAGAAAGCAGAACCCCACTTCAGGAGTCCACATGGAGAGGCTCCAACCGGTGAAGCTGGGTAAAGTCTGAGCATAACTCAGGATTTTGTCAGAAATGGACTGAAGTATGTCAAAAGTACTGAAATGCCTGAATTCCAAATGACATTAAAAATCTAATTGGCTACCATTAGAGGATGCTATTTTAAAAACTGGCAAAAAAGGGAAATGGTCTGTTTTTCTACCTTCGGACGTGAACACGCCGGAGGACTGCCCAAGAGCACATGATGGCAAATCTGGGTCCTCACAGAAGCATTCCGGTTTACAGCAGAAAGATGAACTTAGATTACCACAGTATGGCAATCCTTAATGAATTACTGGCACTGCTGATACACATCAAGGCTACCAAGCTGCCCACACGAGGAACCCGCACCACGGCCTCTCGGTCGGAGGACAGGGCACCTGTGACCGGGTCTCGCCCCACCCAAGCCTCAAGGGCAACTATCCACTCCCATGAAATGCAGAGAAACAAATACATCGCCAGATGCGACCAGCCAGAGCCGACGACCGCACGTCTTCAATAAATAAAGTGCAAAGCAAACCACCATGAGGATGAATGAGAAGCTGTAGACTGAAGAGGGCCTCAAAGGCACTTTTGAGAGAAACAAACCAAGCAGAGCTTGAACATCACACAAAAGTTACTGCTGTGTTCAGAGTCTGCCAGGCTTCCCAACAGGGTAGAGGGCATGTGTGCTGGAAACCGCGGAGCCTTCGTTCTCACCAGACGTGGTAGAGAAGGGGTCCTCGAGAGCACACGTGCCTCCCCCACCATAGCTGCGCCAGGGCCAAACAGGAACGTCACACGTGTGTAACGATGAGATGACAATCATGTTCACGCTCGGCTGTAACGGAGCAGAGCATCTCGATCTAAGTTAACCAAAGACTTGGGAAGAATTCACCCGTTCAGAATACAGACCAGACTCCTGACTGCCCATCGTGGGGGGGCAGCACTCCTCCCAACCTGCTCCGGCCAGGTGACAAGGACACTAGCGTGGCCCAGACGCTCGGCCCAGGCCAGCTGGCTATGCACACAGCCCCTCTTGGGGCCGATGGCGACGTGGGGAACTAAGGACAGGCAGACTGTGACCACAGTATGGACGCCATGGCGGGCGCCCAGAACGGGCAGGAGCGGCACTCGGAAAAGGGGAGATCCCGGCCGCCACTCCTGCCAACACTTACCTCTGATTTTCTTAATTCCTTTTCATCTCTAGACAACGCTGGTAAGACATTAATTTTTTGGTAGGTGAATATGTTTCTTTCTACCACCTTAAGATCTACGGACCCTCGTGCATGGAGAAAAGCCAGCCTCGGTGGCCTGAGCCTGTGCTGATGAAGAGGGGACAGGGTGCAGGATACCCATGGACGTGGGCTCCCTCTGACAGACACCTGTGCGCACGCGGCCCCGGCGAGGACCGGCAAGCGTCCCGGGCAGGGAGCTCCACAGCGCTGGGAGAGGGAGAGACACTGCTCTGTTTCAGTCAGTGACCCTAAGTTAAACATTAAATCCAATGAGCAGCATCTCATCTCCACATTCTTCCACAAGTAACTTTAATATACATAAACCGTGGTTTATTTTAAAGAAAATTGCAGCCACAGCAAAATACTGACACTTCTTGTTCTTGAAGTTTGGAAAAAATGTTTTCAGGCCGGTATGACCTCACTATAACTTGTACTTTGTAACATATCCTCAAATTATTTGCTTTTCATAAAAACATATTAATTTGACTTATTATGTGCTCTTTATTTTACCTTTACTGTCCCTAAGTGTTACCTATTTTCCTTCTTTTGGCCTGCAGGGCAGGAGGTGTACACGGCAAACTCAAGCGCTTACAGGGTCAACACAGACTTGGAGCAGCACAGAGCAACCCCCTCCTCCGGTCCTGCCCCGCGTGAGCAGCCGTTATGATCTTTAGCAGAATGCAGGTAAGAGACAAAAATATGTGGTGCTCCATTCTGTTACTTATTAAGAAGGACAAAATAAGCATTTCATTAAAGGGGCTCATAAATCACCTGTTTCCTATTTTTACAGGCAGCGTCTAAGGAAGCTGTACAAAGAATAAAGAAATTCCATCTAAATTTCCAAAACATATCATGCAAACATTTGTGAAGAGATGAATTTAGCTTTATTCCCTTAAGAATACTCAGAGAAACAAACGCAAAGCCTTTTTAATAAAAAACCTTTAATTATTAAAAAGCTACTATAAACCGTACACACTGGTATTTTACTTCTCTGGTATTTATTAAACATCTTAACACAAGCTGCCTATCTGTGTCTCTGTTTTTCTGACAAGTGCATACAGGCAAAAAGTGTCATTCTGTCATGTGTTGATGAGCATAATAAAGTAAGTTATTTTGGCACTTTCCCCCCCAAAAATCTCACAGGAAACCTTACAAGGACACGTCTTCTCAAACGCACTTACTTTGTAATGCGGTCGATGTTGGCGATTTGCTTCTGGTTCCGTATGATCTCGATGGCCGCCCAGAGGTGCTGGATGGCTTTTGTGTCCGCCTGTCGCCGTTTTGTTAGACGTGCCATGACCTGTTCACTCCTGTGACTGCAGGACCCGAGAACATAAGGGGAAAGAAAGCAAGGGTTACAAGAGGAACCACCTTCGGTGTACATAGAAGACTCCGCGCCTCCTGAGCGCTGGCGGTGCTAACGCAGGACAGAGTGCGTCAAACTTGTTCCTACCGTCTACGTTACCAACTCCTTTGTAAAAACTGTCATTCCCTTTATGACGCTTTAAGGCCAAAAAGTTAAAAACATCTTCCCAAGAAGGACAAGTGGTCACCCTACACTAACGTACCAAAAACTGTGTACGTTTCCCTTTCATTCCAAAGCCAAACCAGAACGTAGAATCTCACGGTTCAACAGTACGCGGTGTGTGACTAATCTGACGGGTCACTGGGAGTGGAACTCCAAGTCCCAGTTCTTCGTTCTTAGCTTATTTACTCCAAATTTTGGACGTCAAGTTCATGCAGACATACTGACAAATGCAAACAACATTCTTTTTCTTTCCAAATAATAAGGAGACTGTGTTTCTGACCGAGGCATGAAAGGCTGGGAGCTGAGGGCCCGGAGGAGGACGTGGGGGGCCCACATCATCGGAAACATGTACAGGCTCGGGCTGGGGTAGCTGCTCTTTCCAGTACTTGGAACCAGTATCACTATTTCCTTCAAATTTCAATACTCTGAGCGAAGCGAGGAGAAGAGCCACCAGCTGCGTCAAGTCTAGGAGGGCTGCGGCTGCCTCCTGGGTGTCGGGTGGGCCGTGCTGCAGCAGAGGCTCTCGCGCACTGGGACCCCCGGCCGGGCACAGAGGGACCGTCCGCGCACGCCGAGGCGCTGGGCCCCTCAATCACACAGGCTCGTGTGGACAGCCCTCGGGCGTGAGGTGAACCCCAAAGCTCCCTGACCTGCCCCTTCCTATGTTTCAGAGCAGGAGAATGAGTGAAGGAAACTCATTCCTGACACCCTCCTGCGTCCCAGGACTGGCCGGCGGACCCTAAAAGTCTCCGCTTCCCCATAGCCCTCCACAGCCAAGTCCGCGCTCACTCTCCCTCTGACAAACCCGGTGAGGCCAGCAGCCGCCATCGGAGCTCAGCGAGAGGCTCTTCCCGCGAGCCCGGTCAGCCGGCCGCCGTGGAACAAGGCACCTCTCAGAGGAGCCGTCCTGGCGGAGGCACCGTGAGCCCCTCGCGGGTGCGGCGCCCGCACCTCCTCCCACCGCTACTCGTCCCAGTTGCAGCGTTTGCTCGGAGAGAGAGCGACCACGCGTACCGCCAGCCTCGAAGTCTGAGAACGCTTAAGGACAATCAGTCGGGTTCCGTGCGGACTTGGACGCAGAACTAAACGGAGCAACTACAATTGAGTTGACGAACGTGTGTTCGGAAAGAAGCGACTTCCAAACGCACAGAGACGCCCGCTGTTGCACACCTGCTCCGGAGCCGCCGTGCTGAGCGGCCGGGCCTCGGGGAGAAGGTCAGGCCCCTCGTGGAGTGACATCTGATGGTGAAGGGCGGTAGTGCGGGTCGCCAGGTTCTGCAGGACCCCGCCCCCGCCCGCAAACCCCATCTCCACCACACTTACGTTCTGCCACACAGCGCGCGTCTGCTCCGGGTAAGGCACGGAGCACCACCATGGAGGATCTAAGCATGTAAGACCCGCGGTCCTTGCCGGACAAGAGCCTAGCGCTGCCAGTGGAGTCTGACAGACGCAAGAACCCCTGACTGCACGGCAGGCGGAGGGCAAGGCCGCCCAAATGCGTCCTGGGGGAGTCCACACCCCGGGGACACCGCTTTCTGCTTACGGAACACCGCAGAATGGTAAGCACATGGGGAAATTTAAGAGGAATCTGCTTAGTTTCTTTAAAAGATACTTGGCTGTTTGAAGCCAAGGTGATCGGGTTCAGCAGGGCTACGACGCCTGGTCGGGCACAGTGTCAGGCAGTGATCAGCTCACGCAGACGTGCAACTCAGCCTGTTCTAAGTACATACGTGTACAATTAATTTATTCAGAACCACAGAGAATGTGTAAAACCAAAGCGAACATTTTAAAATAACACCTAAAGAGTACATACAACTATTTATATAACAAAACCACCAAAAGAACACAGGGGACACTAAGAACAGAAACTCTAGAAGTGATGTCACCAGATGGCTGGAGATGGTTAAAATCAAGACTAAAGAATTAAGTAATGCGTACTTCAGGAAAACAGATGTACGGTAAAAGCCAAAGACTTTTCAGATCTACCTGACTCGGAACCGTGTCACCACAGACACGTAAATCGTAAGGGCGATGCTCGGGAGCCCAAAGGGAGCCTTTCAAAGAACGCAAGCTCAAGCAAGCGGAGCACAGCGAAGCCTGAGACGGGTTATAAAAGCAACAAAACCAGCCTCACCTATCAGGACAAGATCTCTTTTAAAAACCACCACGGAGATTTTCCCTTCTTACGAAATCTAAAATCATTCATTCACTAACCTAGCTCTGACAGGCCTGCGACAGGCTCCGGGAGTCCAGCACTGAGCCAGTCAACACAGGTCCTCCCACTGCCTGGTAAATACGAGTAACGAGGTTAGAAATCAAAAGACAGCAACCTGGCGTTTATCAGTAAAAAGAAAATCCTAGAAAACGAGTTCCTCAGATCCGTGGCACAGACGGCCTCTCGGCCCAGGTCTTCACGGACGTGGCCAGCCCAACCCTCCGCAGCCCTCCTCCCGGCGCGGACGCTGCTACCACCCCGACTCCTCCCAGCGTCCCAGTCTGCCCGAGACGCCCCTGCAGCCCGTGCTCGAGCAGTTCTCTGCCTCTCCCGGCTCCTCCTCCGACCGGCTCCCAACCGACCCCCCCCCCCAAGTGAACTCGACTCTCCTATGTTCAAGCGACCGTTGGCTTCCAGGCCTCTCACAGCTGTAGCCCCTTGCTCGAACAGTTAGAAATTCCTCAGCAGAATCGATCCATTAACTAGGAAGGGACGGGCCTCATTCTTCCCTTCAGGGTGGCCTCGCGGTTAGGAACACGGGAAGCTCTGATACGAAATGATGGAGGCAACACTTCCAGCTGCTACGCGAACAATCAAGTCCCAGAGGAACCCTTCGTCTGTGCTACAGCAAAGATTAAGATATTAAAAAAAAAACAAAAAACAAAAAACAGAACTCTAAGACTTGGAGAGAGATTTAACTCAGTCCTCAATCTTTTTTTTTGGCTCCTTTAGGAAGAGGAGCTCCTTCAGAAAGTGATTCTCAAGTGGCTTATTGTTTAAAAACTAAAAACACAAAACCAAAAACTTTCCACTGATTTTTCCACAATTTCTCTTATTGTGGCAAAGTACACATAAATGGCCATCACCATTTTTAAGTGTACAGTTCAGTGGCACGAAATACATCCGCTCCGCTGTGCAGCTGTCCCCACAGTCCCTCCCCCAACTCACGTTGCCGTGTGAAACGGAATCCCCGCACCCAGTGACCACTGGGTCCCCATCCCATCCCAGCACCCGCCATTCCGCTCCGCCTTTGTGACAAATCTAAGTCCCTCTTACAGGGGGAATCGTACAGTACTTGTCCTTCTGGGCCCTACACGTCTCCCCTAACAGGCCCTCAGGGTCCCTTACATTTCCCTCCTCTTCAAGCCTGAGTAACTTTCCACTGCATGGACTGTATCTGCCCAACATCCATCTGCGATGGACACCGGGGTTGCTTCCACATGTTGCTATTACCATGTGTACACAAACCTGCCTTCGAAACCTCATTTTCAGAAACACGCAGAGGCAGAGTTACCACATGATCCAGCAATTACAGGGCTCACTTTTTTTTTTAAGATTTTATTTATTTATTTGACAGAGAGAGATCACAAGTAGACAGAGAGGCAGGAAGAGTGAGGGGGGAAGCAGGCTGAGCGCTGAGCAGAGAGCCCGATGCGGGGCTCCAACCCAGGACCCCGGGACCATGACCCGAGCCGAAGGCAGAGGCTTTAACCCACTGAGCCACCCGGGCGCCCCAACAGGGCTCACTTTTTAAAGACTTGCCATACTCTTCCCCACAGCAGGTGCCCCATTTTACCTTCCTGCCACTGGTGCACAAGGTTCTAATTTCTCCACGTTTTCATCAGTATTTGTGATTTTCTGGGTTTTGACAGTAGCCATCCTAATGGGTATGAGCCGGTCCACGTAATCCTGGCTAGTCCCCAGGTGACACCAACACTCTCCACTCCTCCAAACCCAGACTTAATGCAAGCCCCTCTACCTAAGTATCTTCTTTCGTATCCTGCAAACACTACAAACTGGAGGAAAAAATAGAAGAAATCAAATCAGGGAATTAAAAATTAAGCAAAATTAAACAATGCAATACTTGGAGAAAAATACATATATGGGAAAACTGTGTATTGTAGGAATTGATAAACATGACAGGAAGGAGATTAAAACAGTGGGAGGCAGAGAAGAGAGTCCCAGAGGACCCCCCAGGAGGACACACGGCATCAAGCACGTTCTGATATCTCTGCTGGTGGGGGGGTGGGCTCAGGTTTTGTTTTATTATTATACCAACAATTATGTTTTGTATATTTTGTAATTTCATCAAATATTACATGGAATTTAAAATTTAATCTCATTGTATAATGTCATTTCTTTATTACTTAGGTTAAGTTGAAATTTTTCCAAATTCTGCCTGCAATTTTTAAAGATTTTTATTTATTTATTTGACAGTGAGAGCATAAGCAGAAGGGAGGAGCAGGGAAGAAGGAGAAGTAGACATCCCACTGAGCAGGGAGCCTGATGCAGGACTCGATCTCAGGACCCCAGGAACATGACCTAAGTTGAAGGCAGATGCTTAACCGACTGAGCCACCCAGGCACTCAAGTCTACCCATAATTTTTTTTTAATTTTTTACTTTACTTGTAATTTTAAGTAACTTTTATTGACAGTCTATTCAAACCATTTTTCCATTTATATATTAACACCTTTATAGATTAAGGTTATTCCTAAACTACTTTTGTCTTTTAGTAAACATTAAATGAAATTATACAGAAATATAGCTGACTATGTATTCTTTTATGATAACT